TGATTCGATGCCTCACGCCACCGTTCCCAGGATCATGTGTTCAATTGATCCTGGATTCATCACCTCCCCACCACAGATGGAACACAACCCCTGGATGAGGGTTCGAGGGCCTGCCTGTGGTCCACCCGAGTTCCAAATACTCTATATATTGATGATATTCTGGTAAGTTCCTTTCGACCTTCCCACTCAAATCATAAAGAACTCTCACTGACTGATACCTTTTTCGATTCAATATCATTCTAAATCCCGTCTCGATGGCCATCACCAAATCAACTTCCCAATCTCAAACGTCGTCCAAAAGCGCTGGACTTCAAGTTCCAAGTGTCACCAGTTCTAGAACGCTCAGACCACCCAGCCCTGCTCGATTGCAGCCGGGCTTTGTGGCGACTCCTAACGACTTGCGTACCACAATCATCCTGCCTTCCAGCTCAGAGGGCAACCTCGGTTCGCCTGGTACTCTTCTTGATCGGTCCGCATCACCTCGACCACCTGTTATAAAACAAAAGAAAGGTAGCAAAGGCACATTCACATACAAACCTAATGGCCAAGGAAAAGTAAGTAGCTTCCTTCTCAGTATGATGATACGAAATCATTTGACTGACCGCATGGTTTGCTTTTTAGGCTCGCTCATCAACCAGCAAGCGAGCCCGATCACCATCCGGAAGCTCTAGAGGTAACTCAGCCTCACCCTGACCAAAGAAGAAGTCAAAAGACAGTGTAAGTCTTTTGATCACTTCATATGTCCTTCTTACGAACGTACTCACCTCTGATCCTTTTCATATAGGTCTACAAGGTACCTCGCAATGTTGACTTGTCTCAAGGCTCTGATATCAAGATAGTCGGGACCAACAATGGACCAGGATATATGGAGGTTCAAAGTGCTTGTGTGCAGGAACTTCTCAAGTTCTATGAACCTCCAGTGGTAAGCCTTCTTTCTTGTGTTCAATCTTTCAAAACTGTACCCTGACTTGTTCCTTGATCTGATGCGATTATCTAGGGTCGAAGTTACAAGTGTCATTGGTGCAAGCAGTCGTTCTTGCGTCACAACTCTTCCTACTGGAATTTATGGGGTCACCGCGATGGCAACGAGAAACGACCTGTGTGTACCATGTGCCATAAAGCGATTCGAGCTGGTTTCAAGCTCCCACCATCCTACCATGAACAGATGGAACTCAAAAAGAAGAAGAAATCGATCTTGGACGCCTTCCTTAGTGGACCCGTATTTTCTGTTGATTTATTGAATATGATCCTTGTGATCTGGATTGTACGGCATGCGCTCCCATGGATATGATTGCACGACCCGGCTTTGCGTGCCGCTTTCTATTCCGTCAATTGTAGTGCGGTTATTCAATCAACTGCTTGGGCCACCAAGCAGTCTGTCCAACTCCATGTGTCCTTACATCAAAAGGCCATCAATACTCTTAAGGTAAGTAGATCATTCCATCTTATATAATATGACTAACACGAGCTGATCCTGTTTCATCAAACTTATGATAGCAAAACAAAGGGAAGTTTTGTTTGATTCACGATGTTTGGACAACAAAAGGGAATTGCTATGCCTTCGTCGGGGCAACAGCAAATTATATCAGTGATGATTGGGAATATAAATCGACCCATCTCACCCTCAAGATGGTGGGATGGCGTCATTTTGGGGTTTTGCTTGCCAGACCAATTGGTCGGTTCTTAGTCCGAGATGGACTTCATAAAAAGATAAGTAATCTTTTGTTTTCTTCTTGATCTTTATATTCTTTTCACTCAATCAATTGCTTACCTATTTTTAAATCTTGATTACCTCTTAGCGCAGACAACCGACAGTGGAGGAAATAACACCACGATGGCCTCCGAACTCAAGGCAATGTTTGCAGCCGCTGATGATCCGGTACACTGGCAGAGCCGAACTCATCACGTGTGATGTTACGCTCATAAACTAAATCTTGTTGTGGGGCACGGACTCAAAGCCCTCGGTCAGAAGGTAGGTGGTTCCAAGCCATCTATACCTCATGGGATATCTCTTCCTATCCCAGGTCTGGAGATCAACGATGGCGAAGATTGTGTCGACTTTCATGATTCTGATACCAAATCCGAGGATGACCATGGATTACCTGAGCAACCGGACCGTGTCGATGATGAAGATAGTCATCAAGATGGAGAAGAGGAAGAGTACCTTTTAGATGAACATGACGTAGTTGCAGTGGCGCTTCACAAGGTCAGTCTTTGCAAACTTGTTTGGTTATTGTTTTCATGAAAACTAATATTCCATCGTGTTTGCAGGTGGACACTGTCTCAGGTCAGATTGCGAGCAGCGCCGCCCGTCGAAATGACTTCAAGACATGTGCCATTTGTTTGGGATACAAGGGGCACATGTTGAAAAGGCCTTGCAAGACATGTTGGAATAGTCACTATGAAAGTCGCAAGCTGGCATGTGAGGCACAGGAGGTGAGTTCAATCTTATATATTATATTTTCTCATTCTTTTATATATCTTGCTTTATTTTTTCTTACTCTCCATTCTCTTTCTAGGTTATCAACTCGATGATTGCGGCAGACCAAAAGGCCTATTTTTTCAAAGGTGTCACGATATTGGCTTCAGAGTGGCATGCCGTTGAGTTGGTGAACAAAGTTCTCAAGGTTTGTTCATTTCCTTTATCTCTCATTTTTTATTATTGTCAATACTAATTTCACCTCTATCATGTAGACTTTTGTTGATGCAACCGCTTGAGTAGAGGGTGATGGGCCTACTGGCTGCATCCTCTTGGCTGAATATAAGCGGGTCATTAACAAACTCAAGCAACACCAAGCCAAAGCATCCATCTTTGCAAGTCTTGATCACGCCATCGAGGTAATGATCAAGTGGCTGACCGATTACCGAGAAGAGGCTGCCAACTCTGATGCCATAGTCTTCGCCACGATACTCAACCCGCGCTTCCGAGGCAAATTCTTCAACCTTGACTATTCCGATCATGAAGTCTCATCACAGCTGATTATTGAGAACGCATTCAACTCCGTTGTGGACAAAAAGAAGATCCACGAACCAACTCCACCACCTGAGGATGACAATGAGACTGCCAATGCCGACGAATTTGATGTTTTTGGAACATCAGACAAAGGGCCAACTCTGACTTCAACTTCAGAGATCGACAAATATTTACAAGGTAAATATCCAATCGGAAGAGACCAAACTCCTCTACAATGGTGGAAGGTATGTTAATTCTTCTTCCTCATTTTCTTTCTTTCAGTCCTGACTAACATTGGATCTCATCTACAGGAACACAAAAGTCATTTCCCTATCCTAGCAGAGCTTGCCCATGATTACTTATTGATTTTGGCTACTTCATGTGCATGCAAGCGGACATTTTCAGCCGCGGACGATGTGTGTACCCCATCAAGAGGTAGTATGTTACCCAAAACTATGGAGCGCCTTGTTGGCTCCCAAGCGTGGTTGAAGGAGGGAATGGTTCCTGTTGGAGTATTTGAAGAAGCTGCCCGAGCGCTTCAAGCCCATGTTGAAGCTATGGCAAAGTCTAAGAAACCCCAATAGATACTGTTCTCTTTTACTGTTATCTTTTTCTCACTCTACAAAAACGTTTGGTTTTGGTTTTATACTTTTTTTTCCCCAACGTCTCATAACTTTTCCCGATTCTCTTTTATGTTTTAAAGACACATTATCATACATGATATGGAATACATACACAATTAAGTTTCTTGCCTTCTGACTCCAACCTGACCAATGCGCTATATATTGGACAAAAAGCAAATTCTTTGCTTCGATACTTTGTAAGTTTTTTTACCTCAAAAGTAGCAATGCCATAGGGGAGTGAGCCATAGCGCCGACTCCGCAGCGCAATGAAATTGGGTTTATTTTCATTGCGTTTTGGAGCAGTTCGGGTATTGGTCAGAGGGGTGAGACGTTACTATTGACACTAGAAGACAATCAAGATGGTGTAATTAGTTCAGAGATTGCCATTGTGCCAAGACAACACCACGGAACCCTGTATTGCTCCACTAGTAGTCGAATTGAAGGGGACAAGGAGAACGAATACTAGTGGAGTTCCCCTGTTAACAGCCGCGCTCAGAGACGACTTGTTAAACCCGACCTCAAACAAGTCCTCCGGAGAAATTTTTTTGAAATTCACCACCGCAACTTAGCCAAATCCTGCTTAAGACCCCCTACAGGTCAGCACCGCATGTAACATCGGGTTTGTACCCGATAACTGCTCATATGGGCCTGTCACCAATCGGCCTAGCTTCGGCCTTGTTCTTGCTCAGCAAACTTCTCAGCAAACTTCGCTCACACTTTCACAAAATCTCAATAAATTTCTCACATCTCACCATCAAATCATCAAGTTCAAAGAATGTATGTATAAATCGTGTTGTTGAAATGTATCTATCTAAAATGAAGTCTGTCGAAACAAAAGAAAATGTATTTGGGGGAACACGCCGCCAAGGAAAGGACATCTTATAGTTCTTAAAGAGTATCTTGAGGTTCAACAAAGAACAGCCAATTTACATAAGGGGTTTCTTTATCAAGCCAACCTCTACAGATTCTGATGGTCTACTTTGGAGTCAGACAGGCAAAAACAGATAGCAGAGTTGCACGACTTTATGTGTCGATCAAAAGTGTGGATGGAAACTTCTCAGCGTTATGTACAAGTTACAATGAAATAAGCTGTCGATCTGATTGTTTTTGTGCTGCAAAAGCAAAAATGATCTGAATGAGTTTTGAATCCAAATCAAAGATAAACAAAAACTTCGTTACGTGAAAGTGACAACCACACGGCATCTCACTTTGTCTGAAATGTGAATGGTTCTGATGAATTGCTCCTTCGATTTGTTTTTAGATCGGTTACGGATTGCATCACCGGTGGATTACATACGACTAATTTCAAGTTCAAAAGAAACACATCTTTGGAAACAACGATTTGAGGTACTAGTTTGAACAAAAAGAATTGTACCATAGATTGCTAAACTGATGTGACACAAGAATGGACAGGGGAAGCTCAATTAGATGATGTTCGATTCATTTGTGTTATCATTAACATCCCCAAGCCGCTCTTCATCCTCCTCTTTGAGAACGGCATCCCGTTTTCGCTTGTTATTCTTGCCGAACTTGTACTTGAATACAAAGCCTGGAATTGGGGTGAGCAATACCGGGTGAGTGACAAGATCTTTATTGACCAGTCGAGCTTTCTCTTCAGTGACGGCGGAATTTGGATTAGTAATCCAAATCTTGTACACAGGATCGGATGGTTCGTATTGCAACTTGAGACCTTGTTCGGCAAGGCGAGCTTCGCAATTTGACCAAGTCCAGATATCTTGAGGCTTGTTTGAAGCTTTTGTAGCTTCTCCTGAAAACAAAAGTCGTGTCAGCAACTGCACAGGCAGTAATAAAACCATGTACTTACGAATGATCTGGTTCAAGTTGGCCTTCAACTTCTCTAATTCGACCCTTGAGCCATCTGAAATAATTTGAAAATTTGACATTAATTGTGATTGAGCAGAAGATTGAGTAACAAGCACTTACTTGCTTGCTTAGGACGCGCAAGGCCTGCAACTGTCTTACCGGTCAAAAAAGCTTGCATCCTTGAAGTAGTGCTTTCACGAGTTGGAGACGAATGAATGTCATAATCCACCCAATCCCATAAGCCAGGTGTGGTCGACATATATTGAAAGCAGTGCTTAGAAAGGTGGGTTGAGACAGCTGTGATAGTGAATTGAGCCGGATGAATTCGAGACATATTGTTTGCCTAAGAGCCACGCAGTTGACCGTTAGTTGATCAGTGTCACACAAAAAGATGAAAAGAATGAATAGGAATATGTACTTACCTTCTGGATAAAGCTAGCCACAAACTCATCGCATTTGATTTTGGAATGCGCCAGGTCACGGCTTTTGGTGCGGAAGCCATTCTTGCGGGTCTCCTCATCGTTTGATCCTCGGATAATCTTAAGTAAGCCTTTGTGAGTTGGACGATTGTCGGGTATTTCATCTGGATTAACCCCATCGATGTTGTCGATGTTGTCGATATTGTCAATATTGACCTCTGCTTCAATATCACCAATATCACATGCCTCGCCAGCTTTGCGAAACTGATCTTGCTCTTCTCACAAGGACCGTCAGATTCCGCCTGGACGTCCAGGGGGGTTGATAGCCTTGCAATTGTGTCCAAAAAGTGTCTAATCTCATCTGCCTTTGTGTGTCCTAGCCTTAGCCAGTCCTTAGTCAACAATCTCATGATCAGCGAGCTTGGGTATCTTTGAGCTCTCAGCTTGGGCTGAACTTCTCATTCAACATAGATTCCGCTCAGCAAACTGGATGAGTCTATGTGGGCAACTGCACTTTGATATTTCACGCGGGAAACTGTCAACTTACCTCCATGAACCCATACGTAGTATTTAGTCTTTGTCACATGCAAGACATTTTGTCTCTCAACTTTCAAGGAGTCAAGACCTTTTTGTATGTATGTAAGCGCTCCCAATCGAGGGACTTGAAAAATACCAACTTACCCAATCAGAACAACAACACCAACAACCCCATTTGACTTTGTCCAAAAATGACATCATAACCCTTAACAGCAGCAGCTATCATGATAGCAAGCCATAGTCAGTGTTCCAGTTGAGAATGTTAAATTAGTTGGTCTTGTAAGTTATCTTTACTTTCTAATTCAAATTTTAAACAAAATGAAATGATAATTGACTGGATTTTTTTATCTTTGCTTTTTGGGTATACAAACAAAAAGGCTGTGATGAAGATACCTAATTAAACATGCAAGAGAATCTATGTTTACAGGTTCAAATCAAATTGCTTCGGGTCAACTTTTAGGTTCAGATACTTCTGGTATTTTAAATATAAGTGATGCATTTCCATTACCTTCTGGGTGTCTTATGAGAGATACAACTGAAGGAGATGAAACTAAAGGTACTAAGATGGGTAAGTGACACAAGAAAAACTCGTCATAAGAATCTAATTGAAACCTGATCAATGTTTTGGTTTTGGTTTTGGTTGGTTGGAAATTAGCTTCTAGATATGCTTCTTCAATCTTACCAAATTTATCGGCTTTAGGTGCAGATGCAAATATAGTATGGTTTTGTTGTTCTACAATCAATTCTCAGCATTTAGCTACACCTGGTTTTATTGAAACTTTCATTTCAATTCAAATCGGCTCGACTTCTACTACACCTACATCAAAATCATCTGTTAAATCAAAAGTTTTGGCTGGTAAAGAATTAGCTATCGTTTATGATTTAGCTAGTTCGGCCACGGCACGGTTAATTTAAAAGCTTATCGTCTTTCTCAAAACGTTGTTGAAGCTTATCAGAATGGAAAATCAATTCACAAAAGTAAGTACATAAGATTCAATTTGAATTTAAGAGTTGGATTGATTAATCTTGGAAGTTCGACTTGATCTGATTACTCTTGCAGATCATAAACTTACAGTCTCTAAGATCTTACAAGAAATCCCTCTAACAATTCAATCTTCAGCATTATTAACTGCATTCTCAGCCACTTTCATCTCACCTACATCAGAATCGATTCAAAGTTTGATCGTTAGTACGAACCAATGGGGAACAACTACTGAATCTAATCGATCTGAATTATTATCAAATCATTTACCTTCATTCTCTCCATTAAGTTTACCCTTTTCTCAACATTCGGATTCACCTACTTCAATGTTAGATACACTTTTAACGGTCATGAATTCAATTGAGGTTCATAATATGGCTCTTAGTACTCTTAGTTTTCAGTCTCGTCAATTGGCTAGAGATCGAGCTAAACTTGGAAGTGTAATTTTCAAAAGGAAAGCTGAGAATGAGGTTCGGGTTCAACAAGGTTTACCTCCTTTACCTCCTTCATCTGAAGAGGTAGGATTGAATTTCTCTCGCTTCGAAATCAATCTATTCTGATATGTATTAATTGAGATTCTGTTTTGTGACTTTTTTTATAGTCTGCCTTACAAGAACCAACTAGATTAGAAACCATGTGTGCTTTATCAGGTGTAGATGGAGCAGCTAAGAAGCTTTGTGAGACTGGTGGATTGGGTGGTATTAGAGCATTTGGAGCTAAAGCTGGAGTTTAAGAAAATAGTATGAACATTAAGTTGCAGTAAAGAAATTAAGAAGTACAAGGATTTTGTTTTAGATTAATGAAATTTGAATGTTTTGTAATACATCTCTTTTGAACTTATTTCAACGTGATATAAATTAGATTAGCAATTGCTATGAAATAGTGGGGGGAAATGGATTAAGATTGACATGATGTCAGGTTCATGAGGGAGTCGCGCGGAAAGCGCCAAAAAGGCGCGACCTCCATGCAGATCGACCATTTTCAAAGACTGGTTTTTGGGTCAATTATGTTCAGTGTCCCTAGCCTGACATCTTTCACCGTGTTGATTAGGTGACTCTGGTGCTAAAGGAGTTTTCAAAGTGGAGCTCTTAAAGAAGGGCCTTGATAGGCCTTGATAATTTTCTTTAAGTGCCATGTCACATCCATACTGTTTTGGATTTGCTGTGAAATTTCCGCGTCTCAGCAACCGAGACTCAGTCTTTAACCTCTCAATAGCCCTATGTTCCCTAAATTCTAGAGGAATGGCTGAACATGCAGGGGTGTTCATTGATACTTATGGTGCTAAGCCCGTGGAGCAATGCATATCTGAGCTGCTCAGATGGAACATGATTGCAATGCAGGCTGGATGCAACTGCGAGACTCTGACCCCCCTCGACGTTGAGGGGGGATCTGGCGGTCCTTGTGTCTTTTGTGTAACTCGCCCATAGTTGACGTACTAGTTCCCTCGAGACAGGATTAAGAGGACCTCCATCTATCCATAACAAGAACTTGGCTTTCAGTCCGAAGTCAGTATTAAGATTGTGAATTGAGCTGTACTCACTTTGTCGATAGATATCTGAGACTGCCTTAGATTTTATGAAATAGTCATAGTTTCTTGAAGCCCTAAAGGATGCACATTTTCCACTTCAAGAAAGAAAGATAGACGTCAGAAGTTTAATCTAACAGACTTAATAGTAGGATGAAGAGCACCTCACATCTCGTTTGAGGCCACGTCTTGTGATATTCCAAGGTGGATGCACAAGATGGCAAGGAGCTTCTCGGTCGAGTTGTGAAAATCCCTTAGAATTTGTCTCTTCTGTAATGATGGAGCCCCATGACCTCGACCGCGAGTATGCTGGTCAGCAAGCGTCCTAAGCTGCGAGGCATCCAACGCATACAATTCAGTTACAGTAAGTTCAGCTGGAAGAGAGATATTATCGGGTAGACGTTGGGCTGGTGTTAGAAACTCATCCAAGAGCGCTTTGTTGCTTTTAGCAACTTCGTCTTCACGGTTAGCATCTTTGTTAGCTTTGTTTTGTGATGAACTCTTTGATCGAGATGCAGATTTCTTTGTTTGTGAAGATTTCTTTCCTGCTGGCTGGGACACGGTAGAGATTCCTCTCGAATTGGATGTTGTTGAATTTCTCAAACCCAAAGGTTGAGATTCCAAGTGCGGAAGTAGGGAAGAGTCTATATGAATTGGTGCTGATGCCCGTTGAGGTTCCGGAACCGAGATTTGATGATTTTTGTAGATGTTTAAAGTTGAATCAAATTGATTTGGTAGGCTTTGACCTAGTTGAAGGTGAGTATGTTGATTTATACTTGCGTTTGGTAAGCTGTGAGTTTGTTGAAGCTGATTGTTTTGATTGTGTTGATTTAGACTTGGCCGATTATCGATCATTGGAGGTTGTGGAACTTGATGATCTTGAAAGAAATCATTAATTCCACGCTGAGCCTCTTGAACACGATTGATTTGATTGATATCAGCTTGAGTAGTAGGTCTTTGAAAAGGTCTATGAAATAAATCTTCATAGCTTTGTTCTGAATACCGCTGATGTTCAAGAGGGGCTTGTTGTTGTAAGGCTGCCATAAGTGATTGCTGGTCTATAATCTGACCTTGCCTTGAGTCTTCCATCTGTAAATCAAATCCGGTGAAATCCTGATGTGTTTCTTGATTACCGGCACGTAGGATTGATAATAAAGTTGGTGAGGCTTGTTGTATGCTGTTGTATGTGGTGGTGGTGGGGTGCATTACTCCAGTTTTTTAGAGCTTGGGGCGCGTCTTGTAATTCAATTGGCGCCATTCTGAGTTTTATCTCAAATTACAATTCAATTGCCGCAATTCAGACTTTTATCTCAAATTTTGATTAAAATACACAATATTGAAGAAGTTATAACGTGTGCTATACGCACACCTTTGGCCACTAATACGGGAAAAACCTTGTGCTTGGCCTTCTGTTCTGAAATATGTAAGTGAATATGATACTATGTTATCATACTATGTGATAAATATTGATTCAGTTGACATATTTCAGGTAAGAAATCATTCATCAATTTGAATGAATATTGACTATAAGACAAAGTGAGAATGTCCTCTGCTTTTACCACGTGAACTGTAGAAGTCCCGCAAGTCTTTGAGCGCCCCAACTATGTGGGGTTTAAAGACACAATAAAGGATTACCAGATCTAAAAAGAAACAATCACTCATTCAATTATTGGTATGTTGATCTGATTTGAAATTTGATGGGATGATCATAGCATTGAGTGTGGCCAGCATCTGTGTTGTGCTATTAAAGATATGCCAATGTTGATTAACAGTTATTTGATAATTTAAATTGATAATGGTATTAAAGAGTTATTCAGTGGCTGTAGCTTTGAATGATGTAACTCATGCATCTATTCAACATTGGCTACGAGTTTGAGTCTTGATGGCAAATCAACATGAGATATAAAGAGGCCATGTATATTTCCATATGTGCTGTGGATGTGATGTGGTGGTAGATTCAGAAGGACTTGATATAGGCGGATATATTTCTCTCATTTACTTCAATTGTACAAAACAATTGGAGTGGTTATTAAGAATTGTATCCTTGTGAGACAGCATGAGCACCCCGCACCCCGCACGCCGGGTACGAGAGGTGTGTAGGGGGTTATACCTTTGTGCACACATGTCATAAGGTAAATGTTAAGATGCAGTATTACAGTTTCGATAGTAGCAGAGAGAATGAGCCAATTTTTAAGTTATTTGACCCAACAATGAAAAAGTTATTGGACTTTGAATTATATGCATAGTATGAGCAAAAAATCCTGGACAGAGCAGACCAATATGGTTATGGACAGTGCCACACATGTGATAAGCTCTATATGGTAGTATTTTTAGAGAACACACATATTAGCTGACAAAATGGTCCAACTTTTAACTGTTTTGGACAAAAATTGACCAAGTTATTAAAGATCTTGTCCGTGGGGGTCAGAATGAGGAAAATGTGCTGAAAATGAGATAAAAATGCACATGTATCTTTTTTCACAATTTTCATAGAGCTGTTATGATAACATATTCTGAAAGGCCTAGAGTAAGTGGAAAAAATGAGCCATACAAGAAGGTATTTGGACAAAAACTGAAGAAGTTATTAAAAATTCACTCCATTTTACTCAAAATGTGCACATGTTGTGTGACTAGCAACGTCACTGCTTGTGTTACGCACTTGAGCAAGATGGAGTGAAATTTTTATAACTTTTTCAGTTTCTGTCCAAATTGCTTAAAAAGTGGCTCATTTTTTCCGCTCATCCTAGGGCTGTCTGAATATATTATCAAATCAGCTCTACGCCATGCTCAACAAAAGTTATAACTACATATGTCTCTACCAATTTGCACATTTTCCCTATTCTGACCCCTATGGATCAGATCTTCAATATCTTTGTCACTTTTTGTCCAAAGTGCTTAAAAGCTACACCATTTTGTCCGCTAATATGTGGGCTTTTTGAAAATACTACCATGTTTACCTTATGGTGTGTGTGGCCTCCTCCTTAACCATGGATCTGTTTCCTTGTCCACCACAATTCCTTCATACTACACATATAATTCACTTCTCAATAAGTTTGTCTTTTGTGGTTGAAATAGCTTAAAAAGTCGCTCATTCTCTTCACTTCTATAAGGACTTTTATAATATATAATTATAATAATTATATGATATGTGTGGTAGAAGATATAACCCTACACACCCTTCCTGCCAAGCGCAATGGGGTGCTCTGAATGGAATTTGAACATATCAATCAATGAAATACTTGAATCAAGTTTATACCATAATTTGATAAACCTTAGAGTCTCATTAAATATGTTTTCAATATTGGTACTTCTAAATCCAGGACTTAGGGTTGTAGTACCTACATATGGGCTTCAGCATGCACCCAGATCAGCTGTATCCATCTTGAAAATGGATGTGAGACCTCGGCTGCAGAGCTATCAGCTAAGCTACAGTCATATTGAGCTTTGTTTCAAGACCTGATAGCTTAACAACTTGGCAGTGCCTGATAATGTTCAAGTAGGTATATTTGGCTCACTTTGATTTTCACATACGATGAAGGCAAAGATGTTACAGCCGGTAAAGGAATTTGTGGCAGTTTCCAGCCCAAAGAGTCACCGAGGGATATTGTCCAAAAGGGTTAAATCTCGAAAAAATCATCTTTTTTAATATTAGCTTCCGTTTTAACCGTGAGTGAGCTGTCACAGGAACCTCTCTACCTCTTTTGACGTCTCCTGACTTGGCGCTTCCATGGAAGCACCGATTTGACGTTCGGGTTCAAAGAAAGCACATGCTGCTGCAACATTGGCCGGGTAGAAGATTCATTACCTCCGCTTTCCCCCTCTCCCCCTTTTTCCATCATCCCCTACTTTTCATCAGCGCAAATATCTCGATTCCTCTCTTGGTATATCGATTTCTCTATTTTACGTCCTGGTAAGTTTTCCAATTACGATTTCAACCTTGGTCTACACCTACTCACTTCACTCCCATTTCTCCCGTCTTTCTATGCAGATGCCTACCATCCACAGCCCCGAGGTGAAGATGATGGTGGTTCACATGATTATTCGAGGAATGCGCTTTCGTGAGATCATGGACTCGCTCGGAATTCAACTTTCCCTCACGTCGGTCCGGCGTTGGTATAATTTGTACCTGACAACACGAGCAGTAGTGACGAATCCGTCGGATCATATGCAGCGAGGAGGTCCAACCTCGCTTGGGCCTGCTGAACGTCAATTTCTGACCGAATCACTGGATGTTGATCCAACCCTCTACCTCAACGAGCTTAAAGCAAAAATCCTGGACACTTTTGGAATCCGAGTCTCAAATATGACTCTCTCAAAAGACTTACGTAATAGATTAGCCTGGACCAGGAAGAAGGCCCGTACCATACATCCAAATCAATCAATGGCAGCCCGAGGTGCCTACATAGAGTCTGTTCATGATATCAACCGTAGATGTCTAGTTTTCACTGGTATGTTTTTTTCTTTCTTGTTCATCTTGATTTCATTGTTTCTGACCTTCACTTTTGGTCACTCAGATGAAAGTGAAATCACCAAGCGTTGATTGTATCGAGAATATGCCCATGCACCTATCGGACAGCGGACCAATCGGCTCCAGAGGCCTACAAGAGCCACTCGTTGGTCGGTCTTGCCTGCAATCTCCTTGGATGGAGTGATCGCATGCAAGATTCAGGCTGGTGGCTACTCAAGGATCGACTTTGAGGATTTTCTTGAAAATCATCTTGTGAGTTGTATCATCTTGTCCTTTTTTCATCCCTCGCTTTCATGATACTAACATGGTATTCATATCAATGCAGTTACCAGTTATGAATCCCTATCCAGCCCGGAATAGTGTGTTGGTAATGGACAACGCACCTATCCATCACAATGGACGGGTGGCTGAGCTTTGTGAGGCTCGGGGGGTTCGGCTGCTTTATCTTCCTGCTTACAGCCCTGATCTCAACCCGATAGAGAAAGCATTCTTGGTTTTGAAGGCCCGCTTAAGAAGATCCCAAGTACTTCAAAATGCTTTGAATCAAAACGAGGAAATGGCCGCTATTTGGGAGACCTGTATGAATCTGTTGACTGAAGATCTTTCGGAAGGTCTTTTTCAAGGTTTTGGTTATTTGTAAGACTCTGAGTGATCTGTTTATCGGTTCTCATGCTGAGTACCACGTTTGAGATGGTTAAGCTCTTGCAAAATGTATTTTTTGTAAGAGCTCGCATTTCAATTGTTATTGATTCCTACTTTGTCTTTGATTGCAATTGTCATCGATTTCTACTTCTACTCTCTGATCTACAAATTCATTTTCAAGGATGGATCTGGTTCTTGTTTCCTTTTCTTTTTTGTTGGTTTTTGTGTTTTGTTTGGAAATCCATTTGTCCTTGGATTGGCTCGTAATAGCCTGGATATGATCTCAATCAGACTACCTAAAGAGTGTAATCATGTAAGAAATGCTTGCATGAGCCGTTTAGTGATCATAGTGATCAATGCCCTTCCTTTGAGAAGATTCTTTAATACAAGTTTACAGCCAACTTTCTTGTGGAGGGTGTTAATAATACTTACCAGTATACCTTTAACACGGTTATGGTGTAGTAGTATACACTCATGACTAACCCGCTTTTGGTGAGGTGAGATTAATCTTATTATTATTCATCTTGACAATGAAATATTCTCACTTCAGGTATTCAAATTTTTCACATTGGACTGATGGCTCTTGGGTATGCAGAGTAGCGCGCAAACAGATAAATTTTTCATTATGGGGAGATACCAAATTCAGAAGAAAAAAATTTGGTGAGAAACAATTTATAGGGGGTAACAAGATAACTTGAGCAATTACAAGATGATGAGAATCCTAGTCAAAAAGAACTACCAATTTGATCTTTAACAAACTCCTTGCCAAAAGATAAGAAAATGGGAAAATGTAATTTCTGTCGATCACAAAGTTTGGAGATAACTTGAGCAATTACAAGATGATGAGAACGCTAGTCAAAAAGAACTACCTATTTGATCTGTAACGAACTCCTTGCCAAAAGATAAGAAAAAGGGAAAAGGTAATCTCTGTTGATAACAAAGTTCGGAGAAAGAAACTTCAGTAATGGTGAACAAAAAGGTGGTAATGAATTGCAAAAAAGACATACAATTTTTATTCGACTTGCGTGACTGACGAGCTTGGGCTGCCGCAAGTAGACGCTCAGCTACTTCGCGCTTGACACCTCTAAAAGTCAAA